GGCAGAATTTCAAGCCATCCTCCTTTTCTCCAATGCCTGTCATCAAAAGGTGCAGAAGCACTCTTGACATAATCTTCTGCATTGACAGATAAATGGCTTTGATGTAAGGGTCGGAAACCTTCACCTCTCTGAACAGAATTCAACCATCATCATGGTGAGCAGCCACCAGGAGCCACATGTCTCAATTCCTTTGTCTGGCGAGCCAGCCACCTCTGCTTTCAAAAGAGAGGTGGCTTTTCTCTGCTCTGGTCAAGTTTCCAAAGCAGAGCCAAAAGCTGTACATGAGCTCCCAGTCTGCCCTGCACTTTGGCCAGGGAGGTAGGATTGGCATCTCATGGTTCAGAGAACTGTCTGATGCCTCCTCACTGGCAAGCAGGACTCTCTTTGTGACAGCATTATTACTTTTAGGAGGTAGTTTGAAGGCAGGCTACATATCTGGTTATTTACCAAGGCTTTCTTTTCAGTCTCTTCAGTGTTCAGTGATCCACAGTGCCAGTTTCACAATGCCAACTGAAGGCAAACACTGCTTTCTTGTTTAGAGACTGGAATGGCTGAACAGACAGAACAGGGGCCTTCCCATATTGATTTAACAGGCTCTCAGTTCCTGATCATGGGCATCTTAGTGACAAGAGGGGAAAACCCTGCATTGTTGGATTAGCCAATACAAGGAAGACTTGAAGTATGTAATGGATAAATAATATGCAGAGCACTTCTCATGCCATTAAGTCAGAATAAAGTTAAAAAAACCACAAACTCTCCCAGTTTAGTAGAAGCTGATCTGAAAAAAAACCCAACTGAATGTTAAGGGCTACTCAAGTTGGTGCTCTGCTTTACGTTCTCTGCCTGCTGCAGAAGCTTCTGACCTTTGTAGGATGCTTCCCTGAACTCGCAACTCAGGCTCTTTTCCCAGATTTATATTGGTTGAATTCTGTTTTCTTTCCACAGTTGCCTTGGAGGGATCAAAATATCCTCCCATGAGTAATTCAGTAGAAACATGTACCCGTGCAGAGGAGCAGGGAAAGCACTGGGCACTCTTGTGTGGGTATGCCCACCTTTGGGCCCGGCTTAACCCTGTGTGTAGGTGCCAGGAAATGGGCAGAACACACCCCAAAGACGTGGGCTCTTGGGACTGGCATAAAACACTGTGGGTGATGCTTTATAAACCGCCACTTTGAAGAGATGCCCAGGACGTGAGATAGCTCAGATGGTTTAGAGGAGTGCTGATTTGGGAAGGGACAGGGGTTTGGCCTTGGGTGTTGATGGCTTTGATGAAGATGTCCTTGAAGGAGACATTTTGGAATACTGATGGCAGAAACATTTGTTCAGTGATCCACTGGGCTGCTGCGTGGCATCATCCCAAGGGGCTCCTCAAGAAGGAATGCATTCTGTGCTACGGGAGAGCAGTAAATGTGACAGCTTTCAGCAGTGGGACAGCTGTGCTCCCACTGGCATCTCCACTCAGCTTGGAGAGACCAGACTGGTGGGAATGTTACAACCCCTGCAGTGCTTGGTGCACTGCTGTACACTTGGGACCCACGCTTAGGGTTGGGGGAGCATCGTGTGCACCCATGACCTCGAGTTTTGAGTTCCCTTCTTTATTTGCATTGCTGGAGCCCAACCAAGACTGAGGCCTCATTTCATCAGCATCGGGCAAACCAAGACAATACCTGCCTCAATTTTATTTACAGTTTAAATAGACAAGACAGACAAAGGGTGGCTGTGGAAACAAAAGCTCCAGAGAGGTGATGTGACATGACCCGGTCACACAGCAGGAGATTAAGAGAGCCAGGAATAGACGGAGGTTTCCTGACTCCCAATGATCTATCTATTGGAGCACGTTAATTCTTTCTCTCACTTAAATGCTGTGACTTGCATGCCAAATACTGCCTAGCGAGGGAATCAGAGTTCTGGGAAACACATCCTTTGATTGCTAATGCTTCAAGCTGGAAAATCTTGGGTATTTTGATGTAAGTTTTAAAGTACAGCTAGTGTCAGAGAACCAGTAAACTTTATTTTGGCGTATCTTATGTAATTTCAAGTCTCATACTTATTTTGTACTGACTGTATTTCTAGCTTTCATTTCCCCACTGATTTCTGAGCAGTATATCGTGTGTTTGGTGAGGACAGTTGGTGGTCAGGGTGGGTAGAGCGGGGAGAGCTGAAGACTTGGGCATACAAGAAGTTGGAGTTCACCTGCATTTCTGCAGCAACCACTGAAATGTTTGTTGCTGGAGCAACAGAACATGGCTGTGCTGTCTGAAGAGCCAGCTACTTGTGCAGTGACTTAGGTGTTCAAACTTGAATGGCAGGAACAATAATCAGAAAGTCATTTTGGATGATGGTAAACTGTGGCTGTGAAATCCCTCAATTTATGAAGACTCTTGTTTTTTTTCACTTGTGAACTGAGTTTCATGTCAGCGTCCCTCAGTTCCTGAGCTCTGGCTAAGCCAGGGATCTGGTCCTTTTGACAAGTGTAGGGATGATCACTTTGCTGCTTTTGATTCTTGGGGTTTTTTATCTTCATAAAATAGCCCCTCAGCCTATTGTAGAGAAACGTGTTGAGGAGAAATACATAACCTTAAAAAGTCTGGCTGCAATAAAGGCATAGAAATACATGAAAACAGATGGATTCATGCATGGTCATGTCCACAGTTGTATTTCCCTCTTACAGTTTGTCACTAGTATTTCTGTGTCAGCTTGGTCTTTATTGTGTTGAGCCTATAGGATGTTACCTGTTGCATTTTCTCTTTTTGCCTGTGGATCAGGCAAGGACAAGCTCCAACTTGATCTTGCTGTGTGGTTTAAAAAAAAAAAAAAAGTAGTAATGTAATCTGTGGGCAAATTGCACTTTAATTCGTAATTGTGCTATGAATATGGACTTGGCTTTCAAACGCACTCCGAGTTTAAACTGCAGTTTGACTTTTATTTAGATAAATGCCTTTGAGTTCATAGTGAAATGGATATCTGCTGTAGGCTGGTATTGATTTAAAGGTCTCTTGAGTGTTTTAAAAGACAGTAGGGGCTTACAGGACAGCATATTTTAAACTGAGATGCTTGGTTAGGTTTTACACTCCCATATAGCTTCAGTTCTAGATTCTGTTAAGAGCCAGCCTGGGTTGTTGATTTGTGGAGCCTTCTTCCACAGCAGCTATTGGCAAAAAAATGGAACATTTGGGGCAAGATGCAAGGAGCTGTCTGCTCTGAAATGGGGAACAGCATGATCACGAGAGCTCTCAAATGATTCCTTCGTGCAGGGGAACGCTTTGAGGACTTCCCATAAATGCATTATAAGAGAGCCGGTGATCAATATCTGCTTTTTAGCTTGAAGGAGGTGTTGATAACTTCATGCTAGTTATGCAAAGTTGGTAAGCTTTGTAGCCTTTCAGGTCTTGGTGTTTGGTTGCTGTGGGCCTAAGTTTCTCTCTTCATTCCCACAGAGGGCAGGGGATTGGCACGAGTGGTTCAAGCAGGTGGTTTCTATCAGTGCTGTTCTGCCCTTTTTTTTTGTGTGTGCCTCAGCTCTTGTGTCATGTGCCTCGTGTTCAGTGGGTGCCTGGGTGACTTAGGTCCTGTTTACCTGTTTGGGTTCCAGACCTGCTTGCATTCTGTGGGCACAGTTTTAAAGCAAAGGAAAAACACAAACCAGGGGAGATTGGCTGGTTTTCTAGTCAGACTGGCTTGGTGGTTTGAATAAGCAGCTCAGTGTTTGAAGGCTTATCTAAAATCAGGCCGTGAATCTTTTGGGTTGTGTTCAGAGGTGCAGTAAGAGGGTGTAACCTCCCTGCAGAGGAGACAGGAGGGATGAATTTTACCCACGGTAATATCCTAGAGCAGGGTGTGGAGCAGAGCAAAATTAAAGAAGGTCCCCCTCACAATTTCCTTACAATTTACTGTGGTTGCTTTTCTACTACCGCCCATCAATTTGCCTCCTCCCTCTTTAGATTACACTCTCACAGAAACATGCCAGCACCGCATACATCATTTAATTAAACCACTTGTTACTTTCCACATCATTAGTCACTGGGTCTTAATTGATCTGTGTTCTGGTTAGTCCCTGACTGCAGGTTTGACCTGTCCTGTATGGTGTGCTTGTCTTGGAGGGAAGACTCTGCTGTTCAGCATATGGTGCTAAAGCAGAGCATGGCAAAGCTCTCGCTTGTTGTTTTTGGAGCTGGTACTTTATTTGCATTATTTTGGCTGTTTGCTAGCCCTAGCAATCCTTGCAGTGCGCTCCCTCTCGAAGCATGGTGAGCTCTGGATGTGTTTCCAGTCGGGGGTGTCCTGTGAGGTTGGTCTGCTCTACCATCAGCCTGTTTTCAGATAATAGAGCACGACCCATTTGCCATCCATCAGTGAAGTGCTAGAATGTGATTGAGATTTGGGCTGTTGGGTAGTTGGAAAGTGTTGTTTGAAGTTGTTGAGGACCAAAGCCTGTACTGCTTCTTGGCTGAAAGCTGTATTTGCTAATTAGAAAAACAGTTACGGATATACTAATAATATAACTTGTTAGAAAATGTAGTATATATTATATGTTTACACGTAGGAGATGTCTATATGTGCACATTTTGTGTGTAACACAGTGTTATGAAAAAAATACTTCATGTGAATATAGCTGTAAAATATTTAGTGGAAGGTTTGTTGATTGTTTCAGTTCAGACTTCAATTTGTCAGGAAATATCCTATTCATCTGTGATTAGTTTTGTGGTTGTGAATAATCAATAGTAAAATAATAAATGTAATTGTGTAATACGAAGATAAATTAAAACCACAGTAATCTAATGCAAAGGAGGAAAAAGCTTAGGGAGAGCTAGATAACATTTCTGTCGTGGAACTAAACTCACTCTGGTACTCAGCAGGAAAGTGCTGCTTTGGCATTTAAGTTCTCTTTAAAAAAAAGAAACCCAAGCCCTCCCAGTGTAGTCCAGAATAATTAAGATGATTGTGTTTTGCTGAGCAGGAGAACTGCAGTTTGCTGATCCCACTGTCTTTTATTTTAACAGAAACCTGAGCTACAACAAGTTGACTGAGATTGATCCTTCTGCCTTTGCAGAGCTGTCGAACCTGCAGGAAGTGTGAGTATTCCTTCAAAGGCTTGAATTGTATTTTGCCAGGGCAGCTTGTGGGCCAGAGGGAAATTTTATCTCATTTCCTAAGACAGCACCTTCCTTTAGCTAACTTGAATGAGGTCTGACTCGGTGTGGAGGGTGTTTTTTATTTATTTGTGCTGTTATTTTTTTTAAAACTAATCAATTAGCAGAACACAACATTCCAATTAAAACAGCAGAGCTGTTATTGGAAATCATTGGAGTTTGCCTCCCTCAGTCTTGTGCAATGCTCCCAGGGAGCAGTTCAGCCAACACACCTGAACATACACACAAAGCTCCTTGCTGAAAGGATAACCCTGAAGCAAGGCAGAACAGCCTGGATTGTGATACCTGATGCCAACCTAGCCCAAATCTCCCAGGAAACAAAGGTGTAGTGTAGAGGATAACAAAGCACTTAACTGTGTCTCCTCCTTTCTCAGACATTTGTGTTCCTTCTGGAACCAGAACAAATTCTGTTTGAAGTCTGCCAGGACAGGCTAGAACAGCAGAGCTGTCTTCTGCTCTGGTGGGGAAGAGAAGGAGCTGGTGAAGGTCTGAGTGGCTCTGCCAGATCCCCCTTGCTGGCAAAATAAACCTTTTTTGGGGAGAATCTCAGGATTTCCAAGCTCCTGATCTGTGTAGAGGTTCAGCAGTTGCACTCACAGAGTCAGCCATTCACAGGATTCCTGGAGCTCCGATTTTGGGTTTGGAAAAACGAAAGTGACTGAAATTGCAGGCATTGGGTTGAGGTAATGAGCTCGTGTTTGACTGGTGAATCGCTGGCATACTTGAGGTTTGGGCTCTGTTTGAAGAGCTACTGATGCCTCATGGGAAACTGAAAAAACATTTCCTTTCAGAAACAATACTGTGCTGTGTGTGTATCGTGCGTTTTCTCTTGTCATCTGTCGGTTTTCATTAAGTGTTGGCTCTGGGGCTCAAGGAGGGGCCAGATCCTGTGATTCTTAAATAGGCAGAAGGGAGAACTCTGCCTGACTGATGCCAGATTGGAGTATGGGGATTATTGTAGCATCTTTCCCCTGACCTGTTTGTCACTGGCTCCCCTGCTTACAGTAATAGCAGGGACTTGCTAGGAATCGTGACTAAGTTAGGAATATGCATCAGGAGTGACCAGCGCTCTGAAATCAGTTCCTCATGATCATCCTCAGAGAGAAAGTGATGCAGGTCAGCAAAATGCTGCCTAGAGTATCTGTTTTCTCAACTTCTCTTTAAACCGTGGAAAGCTTTAAATTACTCTGGGCTTGAAGAAGAGAATTGCAGCCCTGATCCCATGAGACTTCAGAATTATCCTAACATCACTGTGGCTTAGCAATAGCTTTCATTCGTGGAAGCGCCTGAAGGCACGAGACTTCAGGGGAGTGGGGTGGGAAATGTGCATGGCTGCTGATTCCTCAGGGAGGGAACTCCCTTGGGCAAAGTGCTGCACTGAACAGTTGGACACTATAAAAAGGTGTTGGGGTTTTGGGGGAGGTAATGCAGCCCACAAAGTAATGGTGCAGATGAGAGCTGCTTGCTGTGTCAGAAAGGCAGAGTGAGGGAGCAGGGAGAGAGCATAGGGCTGAGTAGGAAGGAAAGGGAGCAGTCAGAAATGGGAGACTGGAAGGGAGGCAGAGGTCTGGAGCAGAGCCTGGAAGGCAGGCTCTGGAAAGTGTGAGGGAGAAGCTCTATTAAAAGCCCTATCTACCAATCTTGGTTGCTTTTCAATAACAGCTAAACCACAGACCACTGAAATAAACTTCATTTCACAAGAAGAACCACATCTGTATTGCCAGAGCATCTCCTTTCTGAGTTGTTTTTTTTTTTTTTTTTAAGCACTTTACAAACATTCATGAAATAAGCATCATGCTGTGGCATGTCCTGAGAACAAGTCAGTGTTTTGCTGTGCATGCTGTGCTGGGCAAACCAAGGCACCCTCAGGGAAAGAGATTGCCCCAAATAATAGATGCATTGATAAGACCTGAAACCTCCCATGATGCTTCAAACATGGAGTCTGTGGTTCCTGAGCATTACACGAGGCTTAAAACTCTGTGTGGCTCTCTGTGTTAATAATTAGTGTGATATATTTTGAAAACTTTCCCCTGATTTTAAGAAAATCTCTGCAGACCAAAAGATTTAAACTTCATAGCTTATCTTGGATGCTCTGTTGTGCTTTACTGAGATTGTGATGAAGTAATAGCAGAACTTTCCCTACACTTTTCCCTTTCCTTGGGTTTAGGCAGTTGTTTGTGTGGTTTGCTTTGGTGGCCTTTTTGTGGTTTGAGAAGCTTTTCTTTCCATTAAAGCTTTAAGTCTGTGTAGGATGAAATTTAGTGTCTCAAAGTGGCACAAAACCCTGTCATCCCACGTGCTGTGAAGTAATTGGTGGAAGCTCGGGGGGTGTGCTGGGATGGGATGTTGCTTTCCTTCAGGACACCTGTGCTTTCTCTCATCTCTATTGGTGGCTTCCTCTGATGACAGTCCCTGGGGTACATCCATTCTTGCACCTTGATTAAAAGGGTGGGATGGCAGGTGCTGCTGTGGGGTAGGCCCTGTGGCCCTTTCTGGGGTTTCCTCGGGTCATGTGGATCACGGGATCCACCGAAGTGATGGCTGTGTGGCTCTGAGGTTTTCCAACTTCGTTTGTAACAAAGAAGGTAGTAACTGTGCTAAAATTCCTCTCCAAACAACTCACCTTTTATTTTCTAAAGTGCCTTTCACCGAAAGCTCTGGAGAGCTGTGCTATTTTTGAGCAGGCTCCATTTCAGTTTGACACCAGCCTGGCAACTGGACTGTAAATATTTTATACGGGTGGCCCCCCCTCCTCCTCTGCCTCAGCATCCAGAGGCAGCGGGTTTGTGTCGTCAAAGGCGAGGGCTGGGGAAGAGAAAGGAGACTGAAAGTTTGAATTTTTTGAGCCTGGCTGTTCTGGTTTGAAGATTTTTCCTTTTTTTTCTTTTTTTCTTTTTTTTTTTTTTTTAAACTCCTTTACACGGGAGAAGGGGAAGATGAGCGGGAAATCCCAAGCAAATACCGAACTTGGCTGCCTCCTCTATGTCAGCAACTGGTGCCTGTGAGCCAAGAGAGAAAACGAGGTGGGAGAACCACTTCTGACTGACTCCTGACATGACAGGAGGCTGATATACGAATATCACACTTATGTCAGAGGAGGGTTTGACCAGTTGTTAGATGCTGGTTGGTGTCGGAGCTGCTTAACCAGACTTGACCCAGGCTAGCAGGGGGTGGACCTAATTCTCCTCCTTCTCCCGTGGCTTTCCAAAAGATGCTCAGTTAGATGTTCATGAAGACATGGCACAAATAAGCATTTTAATGCTCTTTCCAGCTTGCTTTGTACCTTTGGAACCTCTAGACCTTGCTGTAATATGAGCAAGAGTGATCTTTTAGTTGCAGAGTGGAGCTCCTTGCTGAACTGCAATGCATCTGGCTGGCTTTTTTTCCCCCTTACATTTTAAGGCATGGGCATAATGTCAGAGGCAGAGCCGAGCCTGAGGAAAGCTTTTATCCCAGCAGTGCCTGGAACTCCTCGTGAAATCAAATATCTTGCCTCCTCTCAGAGGAGCCAGAAGGGAAGCTCTGGGATGCATGTACCACTGCCCTCTCCCACCTGCCAAAAATAGTTTGAAAGGAAAGAAGAGGAACAAAAACCCAGCAGCATAATTTAGGGCTGCCCCAGCTCGTGCCCGTGGCTTAGCACACCTCAGCTGTGCAGCTACAGGGTGCTCTGCTGCTTGCACCCAGACTGTGATCTTTCCAAGATTCCCTGAGGAAGGGGAGCAGTTTGAAGGCCAGTAGTGGCTGATGGATGGGATCAGAGGTGGCTGGGGGTCCGGAGGAGCCCCCGTGTGCCTCCCACCTCAGCCTGGCTGGGGCTTGGCTTTAATGGCTTCAGCATGTGGTGGTGAGGGGGGAGTGGGGAACGTGGCTGAGAAATTAGGTAATTTTCAAGCAGCCAGACAAGCGGCTGTTACAGTAATTAATTGACTAATTCACCATACAAACAAGGGCTCTTTAAACCAAGGAAGAGCCGGTCACATGGCAAGGATCTGTTTTCAGTCAGAAAAACACTTCAAACATTAGGCCATTGAAGGGGACCTTTTTTGTGCTGGTGTTTGCAGGAGTGGGAGGTCTGTGATTCCATGACCCTGGGGAGCTGCACTGTGCTCCCCAGCTGGATACAGCAGGTCCCCTGTTTTTGGTGGCATTACTGTGTTTTGTGTGTATGCTGCTGGCTTTGTGGGGAAAAATCCCTGTGGGATTTCCAGAGGTTTTCCTGGTGTGGAGAGGATGCTGCCTGAGGCTGGTACTCTCTTGTGCTCCCAGGCCCTGACCTGGCATGGAGGGGCAAGTGAGGTTTGCTGCTTGGGGAGGGGGTTAAATCCATGTCCTGAGGCAGTGGGACCCATGGCTGTAGGTGCCAACAGTCCCTGTGTCAGGCTTGCCTCTGTGATGAGTGGAAACTTGGGGCGTATGGAGGGCTGGGGCACAGTGCCTTCCTGAGTGGCACTTCAAGGGAATGGGTGGAAGGGGGCGGGGGGGAAAGCCTTGCTTTTATAAAGACACCACTGTGGGACCACTGGTGGTGGCTCTCACGCATTAGTCCCAGACAAATGTCATTTCTGCCCAAATGTCCTGTTCCTGGGGACGTGGGGGGCTGGATGAGAGGGTGCCACGGCCATCCCCTGCTCCCATAGGTTTGGTCACAGGCTGCTTGCTTTAGCCACTCATTTCTGTTTGTTGCAGGCGCCTGGACAACAACGAGCTGACCACCATTCCCTCCCTGGGATCTGCTGCTCCCGGCGTCCGCTCCCTCCACCTGTAAGTCACTGCAGCCTCCCTCGGCTTTGGGCTCTCTGGGGGTGGGTTTAGCTGCCTCTGAGAGTTTCCTGTGTGTCACCCTCATTCCTGCTGAGTCTAGATTTCACAAACAGGCTGTTGGCACCTTGATTAAGAAATCTCATCTGGAGCAGTGCGATTTGCATGAGGTTGGGCCCCATTAATGTTGTTCATGTGGTCAGTGGTAACTTACATCAGTAAACTCCACATGTTGGTTGCATATTGAATAAAACTTTTATTTTCTTCATCTGCCTTTGGGTTTCAACCATTATGTCATTCTTGTGCTATTAAAGGAGTATGTAATTTTACCTTTTCTTTATTGTTCTTTTTTTCTCCCTGGCCCCGCTCTGATCATTTCTTCTTTTCTCTTAAAACCAGAGACTATTCACATCTTAATCTTTCAGGGAACTCATTCCAGACCTGTTTTTATGGTCTCTTTCAACTCTTTTTTTAAAATTTTCTTTTGAGAGAACAGTGATTGTAAAACTAGATTCCAGCAGAAGGTTTGAAGTTCCTAACTGTGGTGGTGTAGATGACCACAGAAGCGTTAGGCACCTGAGAGCCATTGTGTACCTTCCACAAGGATCTTGGGTTGATGGCGCTGCTGAAGGGAATAAAAACATTATAATATCAAACTATTTAGTACCCTAAGAGTGTGGATTTCTGAAAGTATTTTTGCATGTGTCTGCTTGTAATGCACACCGAGAAGGAATTTTGCTGAGGTATGCATGATACCTCCCAAGTTCCTGGGAAGGGGAAGTGTTTATGGCTAATGGGGACTTCAGCAAAGTGCTAGAGCTGTTCAAGTGATGGCTTCCAGCCTGCAGTGTACACCTGCAGGCAGGTATCCATATTTACCATGGATTTGCTACTTTTTTTTGTAGTGGAAAATACCTGTCACCACACCACCAGGTGATTGGCTTCTCATGCTCAAAGGGCTCTGACTTACTCTTGAGACAACCTTGATCTGTACATTCCTGTCACTTAAATCAAGGACAGAATTAAGTGAACTGGCACTCTTCCTGCTCTTCCATTAGGCAGTGTTAAAATATGCAGAAGAGAACAACTCCTTCACTGCCTTAATTCAGTTAAAGGATCTCAGCTTCAAATTGGTGTCCATCTCTCACTCCTGGCATGAAGTGAGTTTAGCTTTTGTTTGAGATAGGGTGCCTTTGATCTGGTTTTTGGGAATACCGTGTTCCTGCAGAGCTTACCAAGAGCCACAGTGCTCCTCTGCTATCATCAGTGCTGGATCCAGCAAGCATCTCTGTTGGATGCATAAATAACCACTTCACCTCCTGGGCACAGGGCTGGATTGTGTCTCCGCAGTTATCGGGCCTGCCAAATGTCACATGGAGTTGGTGTGAAACCATCTTGTTTGGTTTCTGCCCCTTGCCACCGCCTCTCCCTGCTTCTTGTGACCCCATGTGCAGTCTGGGTGCGTGGTCTGGGGGCTGCAGGGCAGGGTGGTGCCTCCCCTGACATGAGAAGGCATCTGCCTGCCACTCGATCTGAGCTCACCGTGCTGCTGCATAACCCTGCGTGTCGTGCATGGGGATTCAAAAAAGAGCTCTAGAAATCTGATTTGTGGGTGGAAAGCTTGCACAGAATTTACCATCCAGGATATAGTTTTAGGCCCCCCAAGATCGGCTTTTCTTTCTCACGAAGTCTATAAACGATCTGAGTTTCACAAGCCCCTGTTGTTATTTTTGCTATTAATTTAGCCCTTGGCAAAGGACCAAATTGCTGGAGCTTTGGGTTTTTTATTCCTGAAATGAAATGAGCAGTTTGGAAGGGAGAGAATAATCACTGGTGGAAGGCAGTAGATTTACAGCTCCTCTGAAATTTCAGAGTGGTGCAGAAGGAAGGGGAAGGTACAAAGCCAAGTGATAAAAGGACGGTATTCTAAACAGACCTGCTTAGTATCACTTTCCAGAAATCTGTTTTGTTCTTCTCAGCTGCTACACATAAATAACTCTGATAGTGGGATTTGTAATGCTGCTGTCATACCTCTGCAAGAAGGATCTCTTTGTTTAGCTTGTTTCAGAGAATACCACTTTTTTTCCCCCCCTTGCCTTTCCTTTTAATTTTTATCAGAGGTAAAAATAACTTGAAAGATGTTTTAAAGTACCTGCTTCAATCGATGTTGCTGACTAACTCACACTGGAATGATTTGCTGAGGAAGTGAAGCTTTCTCCATCCTTGGGAGTCTTTAAATCAATTGGATGGCTTCCTAAAAGATGCTCCTTTAATTCAACTCCAGGTTAATGGGCTTGATAAGCAAATTGGTGGGTAAAGTTATTTAGCCTTGTGTGATGTAAGGAATCAGATTATATGGTCATACTGGTTTCTTCTGGCCTTCAAATCTGTGAAGTAATAATTGGAGAGGATGCCAAACCAAACCCAGAGTGAAGACTCATAATGAAGACTTGTGTACTGAGAAACTGGTTTGTGTTTGAGTGTATAGTGTTACAGTGTATTCTTACTGCTGAAGAAAAATAAATACATTTCCTTTTTTTTATTTCAGTGTTTAGAAATGTGTGAAGTGTGTTTACCTCACAAACCTCTGAAGTAGGTTTTGTATATTGCATGTGGTTAAGTATTTCCAAAGGGCTGTTAATGTATTATAAAAGCAAGAGTTGTATATTTGTCACTCAAAACAGTCCTTTTGAATGAGTTACTTCATCTCCTGCTCTTCCTAAACAGGGGAAGAGACTTTTTCTCTTTTTGGGTAGGTGGGAGAGAAATCTGCCATACTGCCAAACTCACATTTTCCATAAAGGTTTTCTTTAATGAGCTTTACTTTGCATTCCCTGCTTTTGAGTTTTCCATACCTGTCTCCGTCACCCAAAACTTGCTTGACCCCATGTACGTGTGGACCATGGACCAGTTGAGTATATATGTGGGAATCTGTTGCAGAAGGAATTCTCAAAGCTCTCTGCAAGTCTTTGGATGTTCTAGGCTGCAGATGGACGCAGACATAACATATGTATCAAAAATGCTTTGCCCTAATACCCTGCCATGAAGTTTAGTTCAGTTTAATTATTCCTCGAAGAGTCAGTTTGTTTGCCTTGCACGTTGAAAATGCTGCCAAAGTCGTTCATCTCAACAAGAGCAAACATAAGGGACTTGATAAGGCTTTTAATAGAACAGAAGGGAAAAATAATCTATGTACGAGTTACCAAATAAAGACAGACATTAAATGCAAACATCTGTTAGTGCAAACAAAAGCCAGGAAATTCAGCTGGGAGGGGGAGAGACTGAATCTGGATTCATTCCGAAATTACATCGGAATAGCTGAGAGGAGAACCTTGCCTGAAATTCCCACAGCATTTGTAATTTAGCTACAGTTCCTAGACTTGGACATTTGGGAGTTGATGGCAGGATGTTTTCACTGACATGCTCTTGGCTGAGGGTTTCCCATATGAATGCAGGAGGAGTGTGTTAACTCTGTAGGCTCTCGAGGAGGTTCTGTTACCTGATCTGGTGGGGAAGGGGAGGATGGAAGAAATGGCCTATTTGTAGCAGAAATTAGTCTTGTTTATCTCTAACTTCCTTGCTGACTTGGCCTGGAAGGACTCTTAGCCTTGCCAGCATGCCAGGTAAGAGGAGGACTTGAGCTGCAATCAACCCTGTTACTGTGAATTCCCTACAAACCCCTGAGCTCAGCCCTTGCTCTGGGCCTGTCTCCGTTGCTTTGTCTACCTGCATGTGGGTAAATGCATGGAGGGTTCTGGGGATGTTTGCACAGGATGATGGAGGTGGATCCTTGTCCTCTGCCCTGGTTCCAAGGTAGCCAGCCTGGTTCAGGCAGCATCCTCTGACTCAGGCACACCAGCACAGGCTGTTGGGCAGCTGTAGAGCTCAGCCTGCTGACCAGACCTCTGGAGCAAGCATGGTAAACAGAGCACACTGTGCCACATCCTTAGCTGGCTAGGAATTAAGGAAGTTAACAGATTAAACACTTAAAAATAACTTTCTTTTGCTGGAAGTCTTTTAAGGCCCCAACCATTTAGGAACAAAGGGGATGGTGACCCACAACAGTCGGCTGTGTGTTAGCAACAGCTGAAGCTGTCTGAGATGCTTTGGCCCATCATCTTGCTCTGAATAAGCACAGATAACAAGGAAGTCAGAGAAGGGGTTTTTGGAGCAAAAGAGTGTGAAATAGGATTAGCTGATTCACAAGAAGTGAATCAGTGACACTGCAGTGTATTTACTGGGGAAAGCGAAATCAATAGGACTACTCTGCTGCCAAACTGAGCAGAAAAGTCTCTTGAAGAAAATCAATCTTCTTTACAGACTCATTAATGTAAAGATCAATTCACATTAAACTGTGATTAAACAAAGGGCTAATAGGTGGAAGGTAAGTGATCTACTGTGCCACAGGCAAAATATATCATGTAAAATTTGAAAACGAAATACACGGACAATTGGAAGATGGAAGTGGCAGGGAACATACAAGGGCTTCTTGAAAGGACTCGTGAGCTCAGATGCTGATTGGGGCAGCATGGTCCTCATGGAAAGAAGGGTACTCTATGGTATTCCATCTGGGTGTCAGGAGTAAGACAGGTCACAGACTGCAGCCAGTAATTTCTACATTGAAGTCATTACTATTTGACTTGCATGGTTTCTTGGAGAGCTTTTCCTCTAAGTGTTGGAGACTTTATTATAATTCTGGTTAAATTAGTCACGTGGTTAGTAACGTGACCCTTGTTTCTTGTCTGATTTTCTTTGTATCTCATCAGACCTTTGTACTAGATTAGAGTTGACTGGTTTTTGAGGTCCCTAACATGGCAGAATCAGGATCATACTATTGATCTTACTCCTGGAGCTGTTGTCTCATCCTTTCAAAGTAAAGGCTTGGAAAAGCAGCTGTTACTTTAGTTCTGCTTGCACTGTTTCACTTATGTTTGCAGAGACTTTCTGAAGACCCACATGGTCCATTAGCTTCTTTGAGCTGCTGTTTTCCTTCCACCCAAGAC